TTTTTTGTTGGTGAAGCATTTTCCGTTGCGATGTAAATGTAGGCAATTTGTGCATAGTGACAACTTCTTAACTATGTCTTGTCTCATTTGCGGTTGCATACCTAAAAATGTTTCGCAATTGTAAATGGCGTAATCTCTATCTTTATTGCATACTACACACTTCATATCTTTTTGGGTCAATTTATTACTGCTTTTCTGACTCGATTGATTTTGTCGGCTAGTGAACGATTTGAAATAATGAATTTTCTTAGAATTACTCACTGGATCCTGCTGATTTAGAGGCTTTGATGACTCTGGTTTGCGTCGAGATGCTTCTAGGGATGTAAATTTATTTTCTAGGAACTGCAATAAGTCCGTCAATTTAGGTAAGTCCCTAGGATTTTTCAATGATTCAATATAATCAGTGTGGGTGTCGGCATCCAGTTTATTTGAAATGATATAAACTATTAATGGATCCCAAGTACTTATGTCGACACCGAGCGCTTGTATTGCGTTAAGACACTCGTTGGTGTTATCAAATACCTTTTTTATGGTTGCCGCTGATTGTAGTTGTATGGAAGGTAAGTTTAGTAAGATGCTGACATGGCTATTGAATATAAGCTTCGCATTATTGTACCTGCGATTCAGTATATCCCAACTCACCTCATAATTTTCGGATGTGATTGGTAAATGTTGCACCAACTTTTCTGCTTCACCTCGAAGTTTACTCTTGAGAAACTGTAATTTTTGGGCGTTCGATAAGGAGCGGTTATTATGTATCGCTTCTACGAATAAATCCTTGAAGGACACCCACTGATGATAGTTTCCAGTAAAAATAGGTATGTCCATCTGTGGAGTCGATTTTTCTCGATGACATTGATTCCACATTTTGGAGTTGATATTTCTCTTGATGTCGTTGAACTGCTGTTCGTACCTACCAAAGGCTTGCTCGTACTCTGTGTCTTCATAGAACTCGCTATCTATTTCCCAATGTAGGGAATCTATGACGGACCATCTCGCTTGCACAGATCTTAACACATCCTCGAACTCCCACCTGTCGGAGATATTATCAAGGTTGATATTACTGACCGTCCTGGAGAACGCCTTGAAGTTGCTCTTTTGCTTGCGGAGCATCTCGTCCAGCTTGCTGCTGGTTCCCCGGTCGGTGCTGCTGCGCGTAGTTTGAAGCTCAAATGGACCTTTTGCCTGCTGTTCTGCGGGTGATGCGATTCGAGAAAACGTTTCTCGCCCTTCGCTAGCTAATGGTGTAGCCGTACGCAGAAGCTGTTTTCCCTCCGTTTGTGTACCAGAGGGCAAGTATGTTTGTATGTGTGCTCGTGTATCAATGTAAAATTCTGATATTCGTTTGTATTCATTGCTCGTGAAATATTCGTGGGATTTGTCGTCATACTCGCAGAGTTTGATGTGGTTACATTGAAATTCATGCCAGTAACCTTCTAACGTGCTCAGTCGATTTTTGAGATAAGTTAGAGTTTTGCGCTCGGACCCATCTTTCTTGAAATTAACGAGAAGAGTGTTCATAGTTTCCATGATGCGGTTCTGACTACTCAAAAGTTCTTCCATGTTTGTAAAATAACTTGAAAGCAATAGATAACTCACCAAAGACCGGACTTGTGACTTACGTAACTCGACGTGGCAGAGTGGTGTCCTGATTTCAAACACTCACACGGCTTAACCAAGCACTTGATCACACAAATTTGGTCCCGCCTTCGGAGACTCGAAGGACCAGTTTGTACGGGATGTGTGTACGTACAAGAAAAGAAAATGGATTTTACAGAGATACCGTTTATTGGCACACGAAACTTATTTGACTAATGAAATAGTGTATGGAGTTTATGAGTCGCGGTTGAAACGTAGACTGATGCGTCGCGTTCTAGATTCGACACACCAAAGTAAAAATGCAATGCTGCAAAATATAAAATGTAAAATAAATTATATTGTGCGGTTTATTGAACCGTACATCAATGATTTTTTTGTCAATCCTTCTCCTTCTCCATGCTGGGGAAGAAAGGGGATACACGTCGACTTTGGTCCCCTGGCCAGAGTCTACGTGTGCCTCTACAGATCCCATACTGGCGATGTTGAGTTAACTCGACCTTTAACGAACACCTTAGTCGGGCAGCAGATGTTGAGTCGGAACAATTTCCCAGTGCAGAATTGGTGTTTTTAGGGGACTTTAATGCTCACCACAATTTGTGGTTAAGTTTCTCCAAAACCCATCATACAGGGATCTCTGCTCACGCATTCGCTCTCACGCATGACTTGAAGCAACTGGTTCAAGCCCCCCAGGATCCCAGATATTCCAAGTCAAGCGCTTTCTTTACTGGACCTTCTGCTCACGACTCATCCACAGGGCTATCAGGTTGTGGTAAGAGCCCCTCTGGGCTCGTTGGATCACTGTCTGATATCTGCCAAAGTACCACAGGCCATGCCCCCACGTCCAGCGGTGGTCAAACGCCGTATCTGGCACTATGGGTCGGCAGATTGGGACGGTATGCGTGACTACTTTGCGTCCGTCCCTTGGAAGCAGCGCCGCTTCAGCGAAAGGGACCTATCGGCCAGCGCCGTTGCTATTACTGAGGAGATTATAATGGGTATGGAATACTATAATCCTCATTCTTATCTCATCAGTAAGGGCACACGTAACCTCTAGTTCAATGGCAACTGTGCTGAAGCTGTTTCGCATAAGCAAGCCGCATATCGTGCTTGGATCAGAGGTCGCACTCTTAAGGATCCCGAGGTGGATTCACTGAAAGCAGCCTACAATTTTGCTTCCAAGGCCTGTAGAAGGCTTACATCAGAGCGGATGTCCAGCGTGTTGGTCAGGAACTATCTAACGTATCCTACAAGCTCGCGTTGCTACTGGCGTTTGGCCAAGGCCGTGCAGAAGAACTTCTGACAGCCCTTGCTACCACCTCTGAGATGCCCAGACGGAACACTACCTCATAAACCACAGGAGAAAGCCGATTTACTGGCAAAACTTTTTGCGCCTAACTCCCGAATCAATGATTGCAATGCATATGCACTGCCACCATCATAACCTCATTGTGGCACAACGATGCCTGATATTAAAATCAGGCAGCGTGAGGTTCTCGCCGAATTGCAATCACTCGACGTCCGGAAAGCTAGTGGACCTGATGGCACAGTTGTACTTAAAAAATGTGCATCAGAGTTGTCTCCCGTGGTCACGCGCTTGTACCTAAGCTCGTATTCTTTGGGGCATGTGCCGGAGACTTGGAGAGATGCCAATGTGCAACCGGTGCCCAAAAAAGGGGATCGCTCAGACCCGGCTAATTACCGGCCACTAGCAGTCACCTCAGTATTATGTAAAGTTCTAGAAAAGGTCCTTAACAACCATCTGACAAGCCACCTAGAGGATCACTCTCTGATTAATGATAGTCAGAATGGGTTTAGATCGAAATGATCGACGGGTGATCTTCTAGCGTACTTGACTCATATCTGGGGTAAGGCTATCAACAAGCGTGGCGAGTCGTTGGCAATCAGCCTTGACATTGCCAAGGTGTTCGACAGGGTCTGGCACATAAGCCTCTCAAATCTTCCGACATACGGTCTGCCGGCCCAGTTCTGTTCCTGAGTAACTGACTTCCTGCATGAGCGTAGAATTCATGTCCTTACGGATGGTAGTAGTTCGCGCTTCATGTCAGTGAATGCCGGCGTTCCCCAGGATTCCGTCTTATCCCCCACTCTCTTTCTGCTACATATCAATGACTTTATTCCTCTTGGGAATATTCATTGCTATGCAGACGGTAATACAGTGCATGCGGGGTATCTCGGACAAGCACCGGCTGGACAGGGACCAAGGAGAAACGGGAGAACCTTGTCATTGAACTCAACCAGGGTATCTGAATGGGGTACCAAGAACTTGGTTGAGTTCAATGCTAAGAAAACCCCAGGTCTGCGCTTTCACGGTAAAAACGTCGCCATTTCTTTCATGTCCTTCTCTTCAGGGCACAACACTGGAGCTAGAGGGCAGTAAACCGCATAAAACTTTAAAGCATCCTCGGTTCCGATACTAAAAAAAACGACGCGTAAATATTCTTTCGAATTTAGCATTATTAATACTAACTATTTAAGGCTTTCATTACATAGAGTCTATGTAATGGTAGAAGTCTATGTCATAGACTATTTACACGATAACTTTAATGAAACTATTTTAAAAAGGCGATCTATTTATGGGTGCGCTCTTACTCACGGCGGACCTTTAAATACGCTTAGCGGATGTTTGGCCCCTACAATTGTTCTGGCAGCTTACAAATAACATTAAAATAGTCTCCTTAATATCATAGATAAAAATCAAGTTTTAGACTGTAAGTGAGTAAAAATTTCACGTACCTACCTCTTAGATTAAAACAAAAAGACCTACCTATGCCACCTGTACATAATTGTGCACACTAATACTACTCAATTATCCACATTTTTTTTTCATTAGAAAATAAGTAAGGTCTGGCAAGCTTGGGATCCTGTACTATAAGATTGATCGGTTATGATATGAATGAAACATAGACGTATAAATGTCACGAAAATACTGTTTTTTTTCTTTGTAATGTTTTTATTATTAATGTATTCAGTCATGTTAAAACTCTTAGAACAAACGTTGTCGTTTATGGAGTTAGCTATCTAGTACTGCGAGGAAACCGTTATTTTAAAAATAGCCCTGTTATAATATTATATTAATTTTTTTGTTCAAGGTGTTCAAGCTCTCTGGTTACAATGAGACATTTAATAATAAGATGCATCACCCTACAGTCGGTTTGGCGTTACTTCATGAAGTTTGGTTAAAAAAATCTACTTTTTTGGTAAATTCTAGCTTAAGTAGGAAAAGTAAATATTATCTTCAAAATTCCTGTCTTCAAATTTAGACCTTAATTCACAGACATAATTAAAAGTACGATAATACAACAGCAATCCAAATATTTTTTTAAATTTTGAATGAGAAATGGAACTGGCTCCTTAACGGTAAAAATGACGTACATCATAATGAAAAATTCACATAAAAAATCAAAGTCAAAAATGGACAGGACATATTGAACTTGAGGACACATCATTAAAAATTTAACATTAATTTTAACTAAATTCTCGTGTAAAAAATATTCAAAACCATGACAAAATTTCCTATGAAACAAAGTTTCCTACTTAGCAGAACATGATATATCAGGCATGCTGCATCGTTAGACATTTAAGTAAAAGAATTGACAAAGTAGTTTTCAGTAATCACAATTTTGGTGAGTAGGTGCAGATTTATTAACAGTCTACTTAGTCAAAATTAAACTCATTATTCACTATTGGCATCTTCATAAATGTATATTTATCGTATTGTTGACTGGTTATTTTATTATCTTGCGTTTTCAAGTGGCTAAGAAATCTCGCTCAGGTATTAACTTCCTTTTTACAGCTGTATTTACGCTATTCCCAAAAAAGTTCTCATCGAATGTACAGCTGCCGCCAGCAGCAACTATCCTACAAAATGACAATAGAGCGACTGTGGTGTTATTAGGCACTGTACATTTTAGTAAACAGTCAGTGGAGGATGTTACCCAGGCATGTATCGAAACACCTTTTTAGATTATTTGCTATTAGATACCTACCTATTGAATTTTTTTAATTTTTTTGTTTTCTCATCAGATAGTTAATTATTTGCATCCAAATGCTATTCTTGTGGAATTATGTCGTCAAAGGGTATCACTTTTAGAGTTGGATGACAAAAAGTTTTTAGAAGATGCAAAGAAATTTGATGCTAAGAAATTGAAGTAAGCACAAACAGCAATAATGTGTATAAATACATAAAACATTTATCAACCGATTGACTTTACTAACTTTTGTCATGTTTTTCAGGCAAGCTGTGAAAGGGCAAAATTTCGCCTCTGGTGTACTGCATGCTATGCTATTGAAGACATACGCGGATATAGCAAAAGAATTAGGTGTCGCCCCAGGTGGAGAATTCAGGAGGGCTTATCATGAGGTATCTTCTTATAGTCACTGTACTAGACATTTTTTGTAATGTTCGCAGTTGAGTGTTTAAGTTGAATTAAGTAACTAATTGCAGGCTGCTTTCTTGGATAAGTCTTATTTCATGTTAGTGTAGGTACTTATTAATGACCGGATTTATTGTTTTTTATTATTTTACTAGAATTAGTAAATCAAATGATAGGTCAGTAAAAAATGCCTTTATATGGCTTCCGCCGACCCTCACAGCCTGCCGCCTCGTGCCGTGGCCATGGTCCTCTTAGCCCTAGGTTAAATACGGCCCTGATGGGTATACCTTTTGTCGCCTTATAATACGCGTCTATCCATAGAAACGTTTAGGATCCAAATATTTTTTCCGTAATTTTCAGATGAAAAAGATTCCAGGCTGTAAATTGTTTTTAGGAGACCGACCCATACAGATAACAATTGCTAGAGCTTTTCAATCGTTGACTATGTTCGAACTTGGCCAAGTGCTGTACCATCTCACGACTGCTAATCCAAAACCATTAGAGTACGTATTTTAAGAGTTATTATTTATATATCTATTGCGCTTGCATTTACCTTTTACACTTAGTTTAGTAGCCCACGTTTCTATATCATGGCGCGTATTCTCCTTAAAAGCTTAATTGAGGACTAGCTTTATAGTTCCTCTTTTCTTTTGAATTTATGCTTAGTTGGATGGGGTACGTACGCCGACCCCTTTATATAACAAAAACATTATCTTTAATCACAATAAATACCTACTAAGTTTGTTCCAGTAAACATCAATTAGAACGATATAAAGACAAAGATTTCGTTCAAGCTCAATTTGAGGAGATTACAAGAGACGTTCCGGCGTTCAAGAAAATTTTTCATGTGTTTGTCGATGAACGTGACAAATGTCTTGCTTATTCTATTCAAGAATGTGTGCGTTCTGGTAAGTTATTAAGTCAATAATCAGCAAAATATTAATTCCAACGTTTTAATTACTACAACCCAACGTCGATAACTTCTGATTCGGGCATTTAGTTTGTTGGTTTAGGAACAGGATAAAGAAGGAAATGTTCCGGCCGCGCTCAGATGGGTCAATTCTTTTATTCTTTTATCATAAAGCCTGACCTGTACTGGCTCTAAGATTTGATTTTGTATTCGAAATTTCAGTGTCATCCGATAATGCACGTGTTTTGGCTGTGGTTGGAATGGGTCATGTAGATGGTATAATGAAATACTATGGTAAAATGAAACAGGAAGATATTGTACCGCTACTATTGTGAGTATTCTACTCACAAGAATGACATTGTTGCAAATTTGCTGAAAGTAATGAATACTGACCTATTCATCATTAATATAACATTGTTTTTTCAACTATAGATCCTCGTGAGGTAGACATTTGACTCTTCTTCTGTTCTTACATATAGCTAAATAGGTAAACTTGTTTTATGTAGGCCGGATGGTGCGTTAACGAAATAATTTCTCATTTTCAGTGGGTAGATTTTTATATGATCAACAAAATGATAACTGTCACTTCTATTTATTAATTGAAACTTTTTAAAAGGTGAGGAGCCGGTATCTTAATGATAGTTTATATTTATAATAAGTTTTGTCTACGTTTTATACCTATGTATTTATTGTCCAATTTGCTTTATTTTATTTACCAACTTATCTGTACCACTGGAATTTTCAGATTGATTGTGAATTTCTCCTTAGAGGATGGGTTACCACCAGTGGTACCACTTTTTATATATGTATTCCTAATTTTAAATGTATTTTTTTTTCGCAGAATCCCGCCACCGCCTTTGATTACTGTGATCATACGTAAGGGACTAAAATTTTCATTTTATTTATTGGTGTTATCAATTTTATATAAGTTAATATTTAGATAGTGATGATATATATCTAAAAATTAAAATTTTAACTAACGATAATGATTTATTTTAATTTATATTTTAATGGTGTGGGTGTTTCTACTATTAAAGACGTGCAAGGAAGATGAGCGGACCGAGATGAGCTACGAAACGGTGCGCACCTGAGAGGAGCGAGGATGTTAAGCGGGTTCATTTCAGAAGGACACATTCCTTGCACACATCCCTTGCTTTTTTGTATGTAAAAAAAACCTCGCTCCGCTAAGCCTTCTTCACCGAATTAATATTACCAGACATCTTCTATCGCCAGTATTTAATGCCAGCTAGACACTTTACAAGTCGAAACAAAAAAACACAAACTTACAGTCGGAGACCCAAACCCGAACCATTTTTAGTAAAGAGAGTAACATTTTTACGTACATTTGCCACATGATACGTTCACACTAATAATACTACTCGATTATCCATATTTTGCCCATCAGAAAAAAAGGTCTGGCGGCCCCGGCGGATCTTACTCTAGTTGGTTTGATTTTTGATTTATGTTGTTCCTTCAGACGTGGATAGTGGATACAACCGAGCGCCCAATTTAAGAAGCATTATTCTTTTATACTTACCTGACTAGCTGGAAATTGTAACAAAATATTGAAACTATTTTCCTCGGGTCGGTCGGGTCGTTCGGGTCGTTCATAGTGAAACTAACTATGAAAATGATAAGAACAAAAGTTTTAACTTGTAAGAAACGTGCCCTACCAGTTTACGTTTCCCGCCTTTTTGAAAGCACAGAAACTTGCACTCCAGTTGCAAGGTGCGTTCAGACTATGCTCACAGACCTGAAAAAAAGACGGATGTCTGAAATCATGTGAAGCATGCAAGGTCAGACAAAATCGTGTGTTGTACACTACCTACACTCACACTAATGTACCAGGTCGGACAATTCGCTGCCATTTGGCCCCGTGTGACCACGTGACAGCGCCAGTCACACGTTCAATTGCTCCGATATTTTTTTTAAAAATGCCGTTAGTGTGATGAAATCTTGTAAAAACTACACGAGTAAATTTGAAAAGTCTCAAGGAATCACCTACCATGCTTAAGAATTGATGATTCTTGATAATTATTCTATATTATATTTTATTTGCAAGGATGAAAATTGTAACCAAAAATACAACTGTGGCTACTTTATTTACGGGAAATTTTCCCTAAAAGTAGGGAATTTTGTATTTCTTGCATTTGTGACTAGGCAAGATCTGATTTTGTAACTTTTTAGGGTTCCGTATCCCAAAAGGAAAAGAATTGAAGCCATATTATTCATAGAATATTTTATGTAAATTATTTTCTTGCCTCCTTTCTAATAGGTTTCCTAGAAATAGAAACCGTAGAGATGACTGGATTTTAATTATTCGGGTTCGGTATACCTTCCAGTACTGTGTGCAGTGCACACGTTGTTTGGTTTTGGTTCAAACCGGAGCCTGTAAAGAATCCGAAACGGCGGAAAATGAATAAAAATATTAAAAATACCGTTGAAACCCGTTAACAGAACTACTATACAAATAAACTTTTGAAACTAAATTACGAAAACCAAAATTATTACAAAATGAATTACAGGCAGGACTTGAACCTGCATTTTCTGCTGTCTGGGTGGATGCACTAATTGTTCTATTCTTCTTGAATTTCTTAAGCTGCACGGTAGTGCCATTTCTTCGCATTGTAGGTAATGCACAATGTCAAATGAAACCACAGACAGATATAGGATATAAAGATATACAGAGTAACTATCGCTACTGTTCCAAAAAATATCTGTGCATGTGTGCGAATCGGTGTTTGATTTTGAGTAATAGTGTCGATTTATCAAGATATGCTTAAAACACAGGATACCATAACACTTACTTATTCAGTTTGTGATAAGCACGATTGTGTTGTGTTATATGCATTATTGTTTTCTTAATTTCACAGAATATCATAATAAATTTTATCTCAGTACGGCTTGACAGGACGCTGCGGCTCTTGCTAAAAATATATTATTAACCAAAGGTACATCATGTTGCGTCTCTTTCTATCTTACAGGATTGGGATGATATCTCTTTTCCTCACTCTGTCAGGCTTTAAATACCTACTAAATCTATGAATGAAATACTTACATTTAAAAGAAGAAATAGCAATATTAGTATATTATATTTTTATTTTAAGCATTAATCTGCGCGATTTATGTATGTCGGAGGATGTGATGAATAGGGTTGATTGTTGAATGCCAAGCGTAAAAAGGCTATTGCTTACACTTAAAATAATTTTAAAAAATCTTAATTTAATTTGATTTCAATTAATTACAATTTTTGTATTGTCCAGTAACTTAGCAATTGAATAAAAGTCGCTAATAAATCATTTTATGTCGTGTCCAATCAGAGCAGAGCACGTGCCTCGAGTGGGGTCGAGGCGCCATATTGATTTTCACAAGTGGGAGGTAGTTTTTGCGCGTATTTAAAGGCGAGGAACTGCTCGTAGCGGTTGAAGAGCCGCACGGTGTATGTGTTTCGTGTTTGTTTCAGTTCTCCTCGTGTCGCGTTCGTGGTAGGTCGTGTGACTCCGCTCGTCGTTGAGCCCGCCTGCCCCACTGTGCCGAGTGCAGAACCGAAACTACCCTCCTCCGCGTTCGCGTGTGAGGTCGCCGTACGACCACCAAACAAATTCTATCTTTTTCTGTGTTGCGATATTGACGCCTAAGTGTTTGTGTAGTGTTTTTGTTTCGTGATCGTTGAATCACTTGTGTTTTTAGTGCTAAAAACTACAAGTGTTTCCCCTGTGTTTTTTTTCGTTCCCACCCTCCAATCCACTTTTTTCATAACTACCCTCCCACCTTTTTTCTCTTTCATTTTCTGTCCTTGTCCCACATTAACTTTTCACTCCTACCCACCCTAACTTTTTTTTTTCGTTTCTACCCACCGGACTTCTGTGTCATTTTTTTTCGAAAATGCCACCGAAACCGCTTCCACAACGGAAGCCTCCGGATCCACGTCCACGTCCCGCCACTGGCAGGGCTGCGGTCCCACCCGCGCCCGCCCCCCGAATGGTGCAGACCGCGCCACCTACCGCTCGCCAGCCCCCCAGACTGGAGGCGAGCACACCGAAGCCGAGCGCGGCCCCGGCGCGCATGGAAGGTGCTGATGACCAGCCCCGACCCTGCCCCGCCCCGGCCACCGCTCACCCCCGTGACCCACGCAGACGCCAACCTGATGACGATGAGGCCGCCGGAGGCGATGAAAAGCGCCCCAGGCACGGCCCCTCGCCACCCCAGCGAGCCACCGCGCCCGCACCCAGCACCAGCGGGACATATGTCCCACCCCCTCAGAGGCGTCCAGCCTCCCCCTCACCCACCACTACCGACTCCGAGTCAGAGTCTGACTCGGAAATTGAGTTCACCGGCGGGATGGAAGGGCCCAGCAGCCCTCTCCCGCCCCAGCAATTAGATAACACAGCCAGCACCATCTATTGCCAAGTGCAACCACTCGACGAGAGTGACGGCGCGCACGCGAGGTCCTACGCCCAGGCCGTAACGACCCGTGCGACGTCTCCTCCGTCTCCCCATACACCACCAGCCACCGCAAGACCCACCACCAGAGGGTACCCACCAATAGTAGTGGAGAGACTGCCGAACTGGCCGCTCCACTTCAGGAAGCTGAAAGATATACTTGGCCATACCCCAAACGCGCGCCCCTTCAGCACGGGCGTGCGTTTCTCACCCAAAAGTGAGAACAAGTTCAGACTAACCCAGAGGTATTTGGTGGAAGCCTCAACAGCTAACACAGAAATTGCTTGGTATGCTATGCCCCCCAGACAGACCTACCTACCAAGGTAGCTATACGAGGCATCCCGGCGGACACCGACCCCCTGGCCATCACGGAGGCACTGGAGGAAAGGGGCTTCCCGGTATCCTTCGTGAGAAGCATCCGAGGGAAGAGAGGCCGCCCGGGTTGCATTTACCACGCCCAGTTAGAGCATCTCCCCCAAGACGAGCTCACTCGCCTATATTCCACCGACGAACTCCTGGGCATGCCAGGGGTAACAATAGAGGCCTGGAAGCCAAGGGCTGGACCAGCACAGTGTCACCGCTGCCAGGCCTTCGGACACAGCTCGCTGAACTGCCACCGGCCCAAAAAATGTGTCAGATGCGCAGGAGACCACTCCGCAGCCGACTGCCCACGCTCCGAGTCCACTCCCCCAAGCTGCGCCAACTGTGGGAAGAGCCACGCTGCCAACGACAGGCGGTGCAAAGTGTTCCTGGCAGCAGCGCGCCGCTCCAATCAACGCGTCCAACCCCCCATCCCAGGAGGAGTGCCCCACCCAGGGCAACAGCCATCCAGCACCAGGGAACCTCACCAGCCCCCTCCAGTGAACACACTAGAAACCCAAGTGGGACCAACCCTGGCCCCCCCCGCCAATCCGCCTACCACCCGAGGAGTGCCAACCTCCTCCAGGAGGAGAAGAAGAAGAGGAGGAAGAAGGAGACCGCAAGCGGCAGAAGAGCCTAATGCTCCCTCCGCCCCGACCTCCCTTCCCCCCCCCCCGCACCCATTACCCAGCAGGGTTTTCCCCAAGGGGGAGGCCCACAGTCCGCCACCACTCCAACAGCCTCATTTCGCCCAGTGAGAGCTGCTCCCCAATGGACGGGACCTCCCCCTCCCCCCCCCTCCGATGTCGGAAACACACCAGCCGACCACACGGCCCAGAGGCCCCCAAGCTTTTCCCTCCCGTCGACCCCAAGTGGTCCAACATGCCAGGCCGGCTCCCAGACCGGCATTCCACCCTCCCCCACCCCCACCGCAACAGGCACCGCTCCAACAAGCAGCCACCATTCCGCCCCCCAGGGTTCACCACCAATTCCACCCACAACCCACTCCCCTCCCCCAGCTTCCAATGCAGGCGGTGCTGACCATTCTATACCGCCTTTTGGAGGACATCAGCAGGGGAGCAGACCCAACCCAGGCCGTACTGAGGGCACTGACCTGGCTGCTCCAGGGTGCCCACAACGGAAACAATTAAGGATCATATATTGGAACCCAGGAGGCATAAGAAGACACATGGACGAGCTTCGCCTCATTGCCACCCAGCAAGACGTCCACGTCATCCTCCTGGGAGAAACCCTCCTGACCCCGAAGCACAAACTGAAGCTGCCTAACTTTACCACCTACCGCCGTGACGAACAAACTCCGGACGGGATCGCCTACAGGGGCACAGCAGCCCTGATTAGAAGGGACATCATCCATGTTGAACTTCCATGGGCCCCATTCATTTCTACTCGCACAATAGGAGTCCGCACCAGGGCAGGCGATAAGGAGCTGAAGATTTACGCGGCCCACAAGCCCCCCCAGACTCAAATCCAGGAGACGGATCTGGACGCCATCTTCTCTGACGATGTCCCCACAATACTGGCTGGCGACCTTAACTGTAAGCACAGCGCGTGGGGCTCGCTGAAGACCAATCACGAGGGCCGCAAATTATACAAAGTAGCCGAAAACAGAAACATAGAGGTGGTAGGGCCGCCGGACGCAACCCACATTCCGGCCGACCCCCGCAGCAGTCCGGATACAATTGACATCGCCCTACTTAAAAACATTTCCTCACCGGTAAGCGTCGAGGTACTATACTCGACGAGCACGCAGCACTTACCGTTACTCATATGCCTAAATCTGGACCCTAATGCAGTGCCGCCGGCCCCTCCCAGGTACAAGACAGACTGGGAGGCTTATACCAGAGACCTGAGCGATTACAAGCTGCCCCACCCGCTTAGCACCCAACTTGGCATTGATAACAATATCGGTCACCTCGTCCAGGCGATGAGAGAAGCCAAGGAGAGGCACACCACCCGGACCACCACCCAGCGAAGGGACCCTCTTCCCCTCCCACTCCAGAGAAAGATGGCAGAAAAGAAGAGAGTCAAGAAACTCTGGGCCATTACTCGCTGCCCCATTGTCAAAACTAGACTGAACCGAATCACTACCGAAGTAGCGTCAGGAGTACAACAATGGAGGGGAGACTCCTGGAACGCCACCATCTCCAAGGCCACAGACTCCAAACCCAGGCTCTATAAACTGCTGAGAGGCCTAACCAAACAAGCCCAGCCAGTCTGCCCGCTGCTGGATGAAAATAATAGTAGCCGCTACGCAGCCCTGGACCGTGCCAACCTATTTGCAGACCACCTTCAGATCCAGTTCACCCCGCACCCAGCCGCCCAGGAGGTTGCCGAGCACCACCGGAAAATTGAAGAGGAAGCAACAGCCTTCCTTAGTGCGGTCCACCCTCGCCTCCCGGGCGACAGCTTCATTTCACCGTCCGAGGTTCACAAAGTGGCTGTCCGGCTCAACCCAAAGAAGGCGCCGGGCCCGGACTGCCTCCCTTCTTCCGCCCTAGCAGCCCTTCCGCGAAGAGGCGTAGCCGCTTGGGCCCAAATATTTAATGCGGCAATGAGACGCAGCTACTTCCCGGGCGCCTGGAAAACGGGACGGGTCATAATGATCCCGAAACCTGGAAAAGACCGCAGACGCCCGGGCAACTACCGTCCCATAACACTGCTCGACCACGTGGGGAAGCTGTTCGAGCGCTTAATTCTTCGCAGACTGCAGCCCCAGTTCAAGCCGCGAGACGAACAGTTCGGGTTCCGGAGCGGACATTCCACGGTCCTTCAACTTTCCCGCCTCATCCACCATATGACCGAAGCCCACAATAAGGGACACTGCACTGTGGCAGTGTTCCTGGATGTAGAAAAGGCGTTTGACCGGGTGTGGCACCCCGGTCTGATTTACAAGCTGGCCAAGTCCAACGTCCACCCGGCTTTAACCAAGCTGATAGCATCCTACCTCCAAGAGCGCTCCTTCCAGGTTACTGTAGAGGGAGCAGTGTCTTCCACCCACCCGATAGAGGCAGGGGTCCCTCAGGGCAGCGTCCTTTCGCCCTCCCTCTACAGTATTTTCACTGATGACCTGCCTTCCATCAACGAGGACCTGAAACCATGGGAAAGCAGAGTCCACCTGGCCTTATTCGCGGACGATAGCGCCTTCTACACATCCGCTGCGTGGCCGAAGGCTGCTACGCTACGGATGCAAAAGCAGCTGGACAAACTCCCACAGTGGTTGATGCAATGGAGAGTGTCGGTTAATGTGGGGAAAACCGCCGCCATCTGCACAACCCAAAAGCGCGCCCTGCCCAAGCTCAAACTAAATGGCCACCCAATCGACTGGGCAAATTCGACTAAATACCTGGGGGTCACAATAGATAAGAACTTGAGGATGACCGCCCACGCAGAAGATACCATCATCAAAAGCCGACGCGCCAGAGCAGCGCTCCGCCCCATCCTATCGTCCAAGCTGCCCCTGAGAACAAAGGTGAGCATTTACAAGATGTACATCCGGCCGGTACTTACCTACGCTGCCCCGGCCTGGTACTCCCTTTGTTCCCAGATCCAAAAAGAGCGCCTACAAAAGCAGCAAAACGTGGCGCTCAGAATCATCACCGGGGCAGGGCGCTACGTCAGAAATGACGTGATCGCCCGCGATCTGAGTATAGAAACCATAGAAGAGTTTGTTAGCCGCCTGACACGGGCTATGTTTTCCCGGGCCGACCATGGTCCGTATGCCCACCTCCAAGGCATAGCACCTCTTCCAAATCAACTTCCAATTCAACTTCCAATTCAAATTCCAACCCCACTTCCACTTTCATCTTCCAATTTAATTCCACTTCCACCCCAAAATATTAACTCTGCTTCTTCCACAGTTGCCGGCCGTACCAGAAGGGCTCCACGCCCCACACCACGTAGCCTGTTCTCGCCGCCACCCCCCTCCAACCCACCCACAAATCCCCCATCCCCCCCAACTCACTAAACCCAAAACAATACTCCCCAACCTTGCTTGCATAAGTCGCGACCTGCTCGCTGGCGCTAGCTGGGCCTCCCCCCAGGGGGTCTCACCCGGCTTGGCTGACCGCGCTGAGGGCCGCGCCGCAAGCCTCCTGGCGAGAACAGGCAGAAGAGGATGAGGAGAGACGACCATTCGTCACCAGACGGCCGCTGACAGCGGCGCCCAACCCCGTGGGGGCGCACCCCCATGAGAAGCAGCCCGGGGAAAGAGAGCAACCTCGAACCCGAACCTGTGAAAACAGAAGACCACGAACGTAGCGGTTCATTACTAGAAAGGTGATACGGTAGTTCAGTGAAGTCAGATTGGTACCTTGAACCCACTGCTCGGTTGTTACGTTATTTAAGTGTCCTTAGTGTAAAGTGTGTGTGAAACATTTTTATTTTGTTTTTGTTAAAAGAACGTAATTAAAACTATACGAACAGTGATTGAGTGATTGTTTGGTTTTGTGCCTGTATCAAGCCCCAATGACGCCCACTAAGCCCGTGAACGCTAATGACAAAGTGAATAGTCGCTCTCCGACATGTATATTAATGTATGTTATTAAATTCATACTTCATATTAAGACACTAATATTTATATGTAAACAATAAAGTTCTTTATAACAATTGCTTTCTTTTCTATCTCCGTGTTTTAAAAATTAATTTGATAGACCTACATCATGTTTCTGAAGTGCAACCGTTTAAATTGCTGAAAAATCTGGAGCTCACAACGAGTAAAACAATAACAATAATAAGAATATATTATTATTATTAAAACAAGTGGTAAATATTCCGTTATTATAATATATATTTGATTACATAATGTTAACAATGTTTTAGTTTGGGAGATTTAAAAGTAGGGTAATTGATGGTTTACCCGACAACCCTCAAATCACACACACGCGGTAAACGGGCGGCCATTTGCATGCTTCACTCGTGATAAGACGAGGTTACGTCCGTCTTTTTTTCAGGTCCATGACTATGCTATAATAGTATATACAATTCTATAGCTTATAGGCTACTAGCACGTTATTATAGCTTGAGTGAATGTTTTCTGTATATTAATAGAATACGTTCAGACCACGCTATAATATATTGTATGGACGCGTTAATGGTAGTTTTCGAATTACAGAGCATAATGCGACTCAGTGGCGTACAATGCCGAATTATGCTAATGCTTAATTGGAACGTGAATTAGTTTTCAAATGCACCAGCAGAGTGCGCTAAGTTCAGTGTTGAAAAGAAAAGTCCATGTTTGTACCTTCATCCATACTTATATATATTTTTTTAACAGTTTGAATCAATTATGCTATTTAAAAAAATACAATGAAACGAAAGCTTTAAAAAAAAATTAACAATAAATAATATTACTAATGATAATAAATAAAACATTTCGATCAATGCCAACTTAAAGAAAAAACACGTTAATTTTTTGTCACTGAGTTGGTACGATTGCACGCATCACACGAAAACATTACTTTTGAGAGTGCTCGATTGTGCGAAGCGTTGCTGTAGTTGAAACATTCAACGTTAAGCATTATGCCGCATAATGCGCTCTAGTGCTGTAATTGGAAAACTACCAATGATTTTCGCACTATACTAGATCAATATAGTTGAGCGTAGTCTGAAAGCACCTTGATAACGTCAGTGATAATTTGCCATTAACCATGGAGTAACTTTGTACGTGCACCCAGCCCAATGTGTAGGTATGGAACCGATGGAACGTAGCTCAGTCAGCAGCGAGCTCCGTGTTGTTTTTTTTGTTGGAGAGTTTTTGGCGGGATTTTATTGAGTGCGGTTGGCGTCTTATTTTAATTATTCTTAAATTTATTCATAGTGGATATTGTGAAATAAAATTGGTGTGATTTTGTGTTACAATCGTCTGCGCAACTGAAGAATTAGTGGAATCTTTAAAATATACGCTATTCCGGTCAAGTGGACGTGAGAATTTTATTGTAGTATTGACTACCTCACAGAAGCTTATCGAAAAAGCCAACTAGATATATTTCGTGCCAAACACTCCAAGAAGCATTAGAATGCGTCACACCCACATTCTAATCTAAAAAAAATAAAAAAAGGAAGATTATTACAAAAATAAGACGATGGCTGCATGGCTTTGCCTTTGCCTTTCGCAATAGAGAAGATTAGAACTAAAAAAAAAACACTTGTTTTTTTCATGATTTTTTGGATGATTATTTGCAACAGCTGATTTACATTCCTTTAACGTCACAATTCGTAGAGTTTAAATGTTTTGTGAACACAATAACTTTTATTTATATTTATAAAGTGTACTTAGCTGAAAAATGGACTTACTTTGTGTGATCTTACTCCTCCAATTTGGGTTTGTATACAATAGAGAAAATAATTGTGGTTGCGGTGTAAATAATGACCGTCGCACCGAAAACATTTATAGTGAAGCTGCCAATGAAAAGTCTGCTCATTGTACTAAACTTAATGAAAATAAACACAGTGAATATGATGAAGATTCCAAAGACGGTATGGTGCTGATACCCACTGATGAATATCAGGTGGGTACAGATGATATAGTTATAGAAACGGACATGGAAGGCCCTAAGAAAACGGTCAACATCAAAAGTTTCTATTTAGACAAGTTTGAAGTGTCTAATAGAGATTTTAGTAATTTTGCCAAGTTGACTAACTATAAGACTGAAGCGGAAATATTTGGAGACAGTTTTGTATTTACATTGTTCCTCAATAATACAATTAAAGAACAGCTTATAGATTTTAGAGTTGTACAAGCTCCATGGTGGTATAAGGTGACTGGTGCTAATTGGCAACACCCCCATGGACCAGGCTCTAATTTATCAGGTAAATATTTATCTATTATTTAGAAACTGACTGCCACATCTGCTTTGGGTACTATGGCTCCATTGTTGTGTATAATTATTCTGCCAGTGTCAGGGTTAAGAAAGGCACAGTAAATTGGTACACTTTGTATGGTGTGGTAGCCAAATTTCTTCATGAAGCTTACATGTGGAGCTGAGATTCTAAAATAGGAAAACACAGTATATAACACAACACAAAAGCGGACATATTCCCAAGCATGCAAATAGTTATTCCCTTCATTAGTTTTAAATTGAGAAACGGTCTTAAACTCATGTATAAATATTGACATTTGTCAATCATTAAATTACATATATCATTACATACATTAAAGTTACAGATTTGTATGGAAATAAGACCATATTCATTTATTCAGCATTCGTATATACTGTAGCCTTTGATTGTTTACTCTCTAGATAGAGCATCACCTAAGTAAACACTGCGATAAAAACACACCAGGTTTTATGTACTTGCGTGCACAAAATGACAGCGAAATGTAATTATTTTTGTAATGGTGCCCATGAGTAAGATACCAGGTTAGGTCCAAAAAAGTAGGTAAATTTAATCAAATCAAAATTTGTATTTCTTTTTTTTTGTATTGCCGTAGTAACATTTTGGATGTTGGTATTCAATGTGGAAAAGTCGCCACGGAACGCTCTCATCTCCTTAAAGACATCGGCTATACTTGCCTCAGCGTTGGCCGGGGAATTGGACGATCCCCACTCCCACACACTGCTCAACAAGATCGTCGCAGGACATGTCTGCATCTGTGGATACCTGCTCGAACTGCCACCTCATAGGTGTTTCATTTCCTTTATTTAAGTTGGAGCTCTTAATAACAAAGACTAATCCAATAACCAGATGGTCAAAGATTTTATTTTTGTTTTTATTAATTGTAATTTGCGATCAGTGCGTGCCACTATAAGCAAATGTGTTGGATGAACATTGGGGTGTCAGAGTGTGCCCTTCAGTAAGGACATCTCCTCCTTAATTCTCTTTATAGGACGTCTTTCCTTTTGAGTCGTTTGTTATAACTCCGAGTCATGAGTTGTGTTGCTAGTATGTTCGGGTGAGACTCCAGCCTATCCCGGTATTTCTGAGTGGCAATGGTTATTTCTTCCTTGACTGTTGACATTTCCAGGTGTTCGTGAATTTCATTATTAGTGATATACCATGGCGCATTGCTAATAGTTCGAAGGATCATATTTTGGGCTCTTTGAATGCAAAGGATGTTGGAATTGCTAGCAGTACCCCAGAGTTGTATGCCATAGGTCCACTGTGGTCTAAGGATAGTTTTATATATCAGTAACTTGTTATCTATTGACAATTTGCTGTTGCGGCCCAATAGCCACAAAAGTCGCTTGTAGTGGATGTTAAGTTCCTCTCTTTTTTTCTTAATGTGTTCTTTCCATGTTAGGCGCCTATCTATGTGTAGCCCTAAGTAGCGTATACAGTTTTGATGAGGAAGAGTGACATTTTCTAACTGTACTGGAGGACAATTGCCTTGTTTCAGTGTGAATGTGACGTGAACTGATTTTGACGAACTGGCTGTTATTCTCCATTTTTGCAACCATTTTGTAATCTCATCCAATCCCTGTTGTAAAAGTTGTGTTGCAATAATAGGGTTTTTATGACTTGCAAGTATGGCAGTGTCATCCGCAAATGTAGCAGTTGTTACATTTTGCATTACAGGTAAGTCGGCTGTATAGACAGTGTAAAATACCGGTCTGAGGACTGAACCCTGTGGTACTCCACATGTGGTGGTGGGACGGTCAAAAATGATGATGATTTTCTTCACACAATTAAAAATCATAGACATTGAAACATCTGTTAAGAGCCCTTTCACATTTTTTGCAATAAATCGCAATTTTTGAGCGCCCCGTTTGCCCCCTTAGAAGAGATTTTGACTACTTCCAATAGAAGTAAACAGTTGATTTATTTTTCCTATTGAAAATTAATGTAGAATATTTTCAAATACTATTTCCATTTTTTTGTACTGATCGTTCTACCGCAGCTAGTTTACGGAAAAAACGATAATATGCACAACTTAAAACGCCTTAATCTCATAATAATGTTCAATAAATTAGATCAAATTAATTACTACGACACCAGAAATATGTTTTTGTTGTTGCAACATAATGTATTAGAATCTTGATTTTCCATCTCATTCATTAATAAAAAAAAATCTAACCTCCGTGAGTTTCCCCAAAAAATAGCGCAGGTTTACCTCGTATTTTGATATTGAATTAAATAGAATTACTATCAAAAACTGTCATAAAACTAATCTACAATCATTGAACTACTGAAATATGTATATAATTTTATAATAACTTCATTAATTATTATTTTATAAGACTGTGAACATCACCCGTAAAATGCAATATATACTAGTCCAAATCTAGGAGGTCGGATCTGTGTCGCTTTGTACCGCACGCGTTCCGAGCGATGCTACGAGTGCATTCATCGTAAAACTGGCTGGATATACTACGACCGCAAAAGTTTAATCGTTAACTGTATGTAAGTTTCCACAACCGTATTAAATTTTATTATTATAAGTACCTACCTAGTTATTAATTATCGTTGCTTCAACTAATATTTTTGTTATAAGCTTTTACAATGGGGCGTAAAATTCCTGCTTACAATTGTGTCAAAAAAAGAAAACGAAAGAATGATGCAGCCATAACGAAAGCTTGTGAAGCAAGGTGAATATGCTTATAACATTTCGTTTTTTATTTTTGTGGTTTCAATGGGTGTTTTAATTGTATAAAAATGGTGATTTGTCCGGACTTTTCAAGTATCATTGGTATAAAATTGTAATCAGTCAAGGTACTCTAATGGCCAACGATTTTAACTTACTGACTTAATGGGTATGTCAATCTATCCTTATGTCTATAAAAAAGTTAGAGTGCGGTAAAATTTTGCATTTCGATCAAGTATAACAAGTATAAGCTTGTGGGCCACCAAAACCAACATAATAATATATTTAGAATAGAAATCCACAGTTCTATGTATTTTAGATGGAAACAAAATTTTAATGGCAACCCAGAAAATATTGAAACTATACCGACCATAAGTTCAATGGATTCGATTGCAACGGAAACTAAGTTTTTCATGTTGTTATTGGAAGTAGACAATGAAAAGAGAAATGGAAATTATAATAATAAATTTAATTATATAGGAAAAAAATGCTGTTGGATTGGAAATCGAAGCCGAGGAACAAAGGGAAGCGTCAAACTCTAATTGAAATATTTTATTTGTTTTATACTGAATTAATGGGTATTTCACTACTACACTAGGTACATGGTTTACAATGTTAGCAGTTTGGTTTTTTGTTTTAAACTTAAACTACTGGGATGCATTTCTAGAGCAAAGAAGTTTATGTTTAATAGTTTCTATTTAGACTTCTTTGCTCCATAAGTTCAATTGACAGTAACTTGCTGATTTACGTACCATATCTGTGTCTTGATTGGAAATGTATTTCCAGTATTGCCTATATCTGTTTATATGCGTAGGTAGTCGATAAAAGCAGTATTGTAGTCAATTAGATAATCTGTTTTCAGGAGGAGTATATGGTTGATGGAGGACGTGTAATGATACCAGGACATTTTGCACTTGGAAACACCAGACTGGGTGTTGGACCGTCAAATGTCAACATATCAATATCACCTCAGCTGAAATAAGAACTTATAGAATTGACAATGAGCGAGGATATTTCAGATGTTGTTATTATAAGTATTTTGTTTTTTATCGTCATACTTTTATTAAAATTAAATGTATTGTGGCCCTTTGTCACCGTAATAATCCCCAAAGAATAATATATTATAATAGATAACTATAATATAACCTTCATTGTAATTTACGAAAAACAAAACATCAATCATCTGTTTCAAAAAGAGACAATCATTGTACGTGATACGTTATACTACCAAACTGCTTCCGATTATGATAGCATCAGTGATGATGATATAGAGAATAGCAGATTTTATTGAATGTACTTTACAGCAGCTAGTGATGGAGGAGGTGTGAACTTTCCCAGCTCCGTTTTCATATTATTTATCCTGAAATTACCATACGAGAACTCGCAGCAAAAATTTAATGAGTTATGTGTGTAAGAGATGAGTTCCTATGAAAGTTAAATGCTTTTGATGGGTTTTGTTTAAATGAATGGAAATTACACGAATATAAAAAAACATGCTTTTTATTTTTTTATCAAATACTCTTACAGATATATTGAAAATACAGAGTGCGAAAACTTTTTTATTAAATGAACTACGAAGGCAAAGACAAAACTACACTTAGTACAGTTTTACTGAGATATTTGATTATTACCAAACATCAATCATCATTAAAAAAGTCAATACTAAAAATACAAGTAAATAAAATATTATTTCTCATTGCCACTCGAAAAAGAGATTTCATTCAGCGATAACAGTGAACAAACTTTTCATTTAATTACTGAGTGAATAAAAAAAAATTGAACAAACAGAAGTTATGCAAATCATACATATAAAGTTACAATAATTAGTAATAATCATAATTAATCTTTATTGTCATTTCCAAAACGCAACCAATGGGTACTATAAATATATTATTTATTTTCTCACAATAGTAAAAAAACTTAATCCTTGTATCCTTTGCTCCACTCAGGATTCCTATCTAGAATCGTTCGTTGCTACAGTAGGGATCCATCTTAGCACTTTAAAATTAACTTTATTTTATATTTGCATTTATTTTATAATCAATAATTGCATATTAAAGTATCAATTTGGTAAAACGCGCTATACTGAACTTCGCCGCGTGTGGCCGCGTCGATGTCTCGCTCGTGCGACTCGGACACGCTCGCGCTCATATTTACCTAAACTAGAGCGGCGCAATTTTGTAAAAGGGCTCTTAAACATAAAATACTTAGATAATTGAAATAAAAAATATTTGTTACAAATTTTTATTTTGTTTAACTAAAATAATAACCACGATAATATAGAAAC